AGGAAGGAAAAAGCCCAAACTCCCAGGCTTTTCCTTGATTTATGCGCGTTATCCACGCACAGGGACCAGGCTAATCTTCTCTGTATCGTTCCAAATTTTTTTTTCGGGCGTCCCGAAGGCTTCACCACGGCCTACTGCTCCGTGGCCCCGCTATAGGCGGGGGCCATTACGCATTCGACCGCGGTCCGCAGCCCAGGCTCCGAACAGAAAAAGGCAGAAATTAAAAAAAAATAAAAAAAAATAAAAATAAAACGGGAAATAAGAAGAAAAAAAATGGAAGAAGCAACCACGTCGGGTCCTTAGGGGGACGAGCGCTGTCGGCACCTGGCCAACCCCGTAGGTTAGCCTGCTACCATACCTACCAACAAAAGTCATACCTACTAACAAAAGTCCGAGGGGGATAGCCCCGACGGGCCCTTGACCCCTCGGCTTCCTCCTTGCTGCTTCGCTGCTCCGCCGCTCTCGCACCGCTGCTCACTGGTCTCGATCCCTAGACCTTCGTTGCAATAACCCGCCGCCATAACCTATAGGGCTAAGCCCCAGCCTGGGACTAACGGGCGCCGCATCCCATATGAAGTGGTTCAGCCCAGCCCCTAAGGCTGGGACATGCCCTGTCTATAGACAAGCGCACGGCCGGTGCACAACCATGCCGCCTTACCTGTCGACCCTGCCGTTGGTCAGCCCAGCGGACAAGGGCCCGCCCCCTAACTCCTAATCTAATCACCGGGGCTAAGTTAGACCGGACGTCTATGCCGCCCGTACAATCATAGGGGCAAAATCACCTGCGCGCCCACTCGCCCTACCTACTTAGACAACGTTGGTCCATACACAGGTAGCCGCTTGAACACACAGGCCGGGGCCCTCGGCCCCGCTGTCACTTGCAAAGACCGGGGCGGATACCCTTGCAAGGGTATTCGCGCCGACAGCCTACCGGACTATATTAAGCGACATCCCCGTCACTTCGCAAGATCAAAAAGCTATCAATCCATCCACATACCAAAATGCTGACGAGAAGAAACCAATCCGATTGGCCGACAGACTCAGGTTCGAGGCCTCCAACGGTCCACGCGCACACAACTATATGCTGCCAGAATTTCAACCTGGGTCTCCATTGTCCTGACACTAGGACGCCGGTGTACTACGCATTAGTACTACAACATAAGTTCAAAAGACCCTCATACCCATCCTCGCCCCTTTGTCCTAGACAAACGTCGGCCTCTCGTTGGGTGCCCCCAACCCTTACCTGGTAAGCACGGTCATAACTGGGGACGCGGGCCCTAACCAAGACCTTTGAAGGCTCCTTTGCCTTATTCTCACGAAAGTCCTCACAATTAGGCACACATTAGTGTGCATCCTTAAATCTCTCTCAGCGTCTTCCGTAGTCTAGTATGGAAGTGCTAGGTCTCCATCTTGGCCCACCATAGTCTGGGCGATCAGGCTAGATCTACGGCCCACCGCGTTGTTATTCTAGCAGTAGTGCCCTCGCAGGTTGCGCCGCGATAGACTTTCTCCTGATAAGCACTCAATCATGACTTCTCAAAAGACTCATATGACTTGACTCCTATCCCAGGCCGTTCCACAGGGGTAAAACCTTCTCGGGCGGCCACACCCTTTAAGCCTTTACTCCCGTGGTCTGGCGTGGGCCCGCGGCCAGGTTGTGCCGGTCCGTGGCCATCCCTAGGGGTTACGCCCTAGTGGTGCTAAAACTTTACCGTTTAGCCTGGTCTTCCTTATGTGCCTTTAGATTAGCACGAGCGGCCGGACGGTGCGTCGCAACAAATACAGGCCTACTGTGGGACTGCGCATAGGCTCGTCACACATGGCAGGCATTTACCAGCTCTTTGTGGGACAACACAGCGAAAACATGGCAACCTCTCCACATTCACAACCACAAGGCACCGCCAGATCCACCCGACCGTGACTGCCTAACTTGATCAGGGTAAGAGGGTCACACGTCTCAGCGACACCTTTCAAGATCAAACATTTTTGCGACATTCTCAAGAAATTTCACCGAGTGACCAGTAAAACCTGGTTCCTTTCGTCGGTCTTTCATCTTACCAACCCAGCTTTTCATGCCATCAGATCTATTAACCATCCTCCCTATGGGGGAGGTCTCACTCAATAGGTCTGTCAGCCATCCCTCTCTTTCTAGGATGAGCTCTCATATGACCTTTGTAAAACATCTTCCTTTTCTGAAGATAGGTTTCCCAAATAAATCATAGTGTACAATTCAATCATAACAACAGCACAACACAAGGGGCCAACTTATGGGTCCCTAACACAACTTAGATATTCAAACATTTGGCATGATAAGCTTTCGAATTCCAAGGACTCATAGATCCTTTTAGGATCTCCACAACTTTTTTCACGGAACAGACTGAGCTTCCTCTCCTTATACTCGACCCTATTATTCGCCCATGGGCATGTCGCACGAGTATACCGGAGAGTAGAAATTTTACATTCACTCACAAGACATAAGCATATGAGTTGTTTGTCATACAAATCCCACACAAATCATCATACATCAGAAAGCCACACATGTGAGAGTGGGAGTGATCGCCATACACAGGGAAGTAGTCTCAACACCTCACTCAATATATACCCAACAATATAATATCTCCCAACATCAATACTCAAGTGTTATGTCCCCTCTCATATCTAGTGGACTCATACCCTAGGTGTTACTGACTCTCACATCACCTATAGGTGGGCTCTGAGCTCAAAAAAAAAATAAAAAAAAATACAATCGGGTGTCCTAAGTATCACACAACTGGGTCTCAGTCCCTGGGACCACAACACGGACAAAACCTCAATCCTTACTGTACACTGACCCTTAGTCGTGCATAACACCCCAAGATACATGTATCTGACTCGTGATACCCTATGCCCTTGACTTTACTCTTTCTATGTACAGAAAACACCTCACTTCTACTGGCGTATAGGCGAACCAGCCCCTCACTCGCTCATCTCTTCCTGGTTTTGCCTATACAACTGGGCTCGATCCCCATCCGGAGCCCTCTCGACCACTCGGCCAAGTCTATCATACATCTTGCCATCCTGCTCAGTGACTCGTCCCTCAGCCTTGTCCTTGAGGAACTTAGGACACTCCAGGTCCCTATGCGTGCCATCCAAGAAGTAGAAGCACATGGCCTCTGACTTTCTCTGAAATCTCTTCTTCTTTTTCTGAGTTCCTGACGACGGAGGCGCCTTTTCCTCCTCCTTACTCACTTCATGACTCTGGGGCAGGTGCCACGGTCCCTCAGCTCCCCCTTCGATTCCCTGGGCACTTGACTCCCCTCGCTGCATCTCTCCCTCGGGTTGGTACTCGAGGGTATCCAATCTCAGTGGCCTGCCCTTGCGGGTTTCCCCTGCCATAGCCGCTTCCTCACCCTTACGAGGCCTCGGAGTCTGGGGGGTAGCGGCCCTAGTAGGCTGGCTCGTGGCCTCCTGCTGCCGCTGATCAGTAGTCAGTCCCCCCGAATCTGTCCCAGTGGCCCATGAGCCCAGTTGTGCCCTCAATTCCCCCATCTCTGGCTCGTGCTCCGGGGTTCTCTACTCCCGAGGCTCCTCTGGTCGCATATCCACCTCCATAACAGCTACCAACTCGTCCAGACGTGACGGCTCCTCCTCCTGTACCTCAAGTTGTGGAGGCTCCATCGCCCCAGCGAGAGTCCCCTCCTGTACGTCCAGAAGGATCGCCAGCGACTCCTCGGCCGCCCCTTCTTCTACTGGTGCAGGTTGGGGTTCTTGAGTCAGCGCCTCCGTAGGGGCATCTGCCGAAGTAGGGGCCTCCGGCTGCGAAGCCAGCTCAGTGGGAGCCTTGAACTCAAAGCGTCCGTTGTTGGCTTCCTTTCTTGCCTCTGCTTCAGCTGGGTCCAGAAATACCTTCCCCAACTTTTCTTGTCGAGATGCCCCTGCTGCCTCCTCTTGGCCAAACAACCCTTGCACCCCCTTGCCTTGGATGTCGTACCTGCTCTGCTCAGTCCAGTCGATCACCTAGGGAGCGGCAAGTCTTTCCACTGCGGCCGCCATTTCCTTGAGCTTTGCCTCCCACTCAGCCTCCTTTGCCTCCAGGCGAGTTTGCCAGGCCTTGTTCTCGGCCCTCTCCTCTGCGAGTTGGGCAGTCAGCTGTTCCACCTCGTCTTTCCTGAGGGCCAGCTCATCACTGAGCAGGGAGTACCTGTGAAAGGCAGTGATGGATGTCTGCTTTATCTCCTTGTCTACCCATTTGATGGCCTCTCTGGTGGCAGAAAACCCCAGCTCCCCAACCTCTATCGCCTCATCTGCACCCTTAGTTGCCTGGCCCGTTCCCTGTGCCTTCTGGCGAGCTGCCTCTCTCCGACCCTCATATCTGGCCCACAACTCGTCAATCCTCCGCTCACTCGTCTTAAGGTCAACTGGTGGCGTTGGCGCTATCCCTGCAGCCTTCATCCTGTCTCTTCGCTCATGTATCTCCTCAAGGCGAGCTCGTACCCTGGCACGGTTTGCCTGGGTGGCTTCGTCTGGCTTCTTTCCTGTACCCGCTTCCGTGACTTCCCCAGTCGCAGCCTGCAAGCCCCCCTCTAACTCAGCACGTGCTGGCCCCGATGATGGCCCAACCAGGCTGGGCCCCTCAATGTCAGGGTGCTCAGCCGCGTGCACGGCTAAACGTGAATCAATGACTAGGCGGGGCTTAGTTCCCCACCCTTCTCCCGGTCCCCGTGCTTCAATCTCCTGCCTGGGTGACATAGCGGCTTCTGGTGGTGGTACTGGGGCCTCTTGGTTGTCTGGCTCCGGGACGCCCTCTGGCCAAGACCGCCGTGTCTGAGCTCGAGCTGGGGAGTCAGGGGGAGTATCACCCTCCACCATAATAATATCTTCCGCACCTACCCCCTTCAACCTGAGGGGCTCTGCCTCGGGCTCGGGGCGAATCCGCTCCCCTCCTGATGGGTCCATAGGGCTCACTCCTGCTGAGGAGGCCTCCCACTGGGACGCGTCCAGGTGGGCTTCCAGGCCCCTGAATGGTGCTGCTGGTACCTCGCTCTCCCTCTGCTCTGGTGCCTGTAGCGAGGACACCGGTAGGTCACCCTCTGTGTCTGGATGGAGCTCCACCTGCCTGAGGCCACAAGCAGGGAAGGACTCCCTTGCCCTAGTCGGTCCTGCTTGTCCTCCTTCCCGCTGTGCCAGGGCCTTCTGGCCACCTCTCGACGTCACCAGCTCTCTTGCCTCCAAATCCCTTAACCTCTTGCTTCGTCGCCTTCTATCAACCCTTGGTTCTGGCCTCTCTGGTTCCGGTCGCCGAAACGCCACCTTCAACTGAGCCCGACAATCCTCCCAATCTCGTGCCCGACCCTGGATCTTTCTCGCCAGCGGACGCTCCGCTCCTCTGGTCCAAATGAGTAGTGCCTGCACCCACTCATCCCTCGGAACCCCCTGATTACTCATATACTGTTAGTATGCCGGGATGAACTCCTCCACGTTCCCTTCCTCCAAGCGGATAGGTAGCCCATCACTCCCCAATGACGACGCTCTCAATCTCTGCATCCTTGCCTCTACCTCTGACCCAGTCAGGGCCTCCTCCCTGATTTGCGCAATGAACTCCTCGAACCTCCCAATTCCCCTCAAGTGACGTACCCTCTTAGACACGTCCCATCCTCTCTGGGCTGCATGCTCTCGGTAAGCGTCCAAGAAGAGCTCGATGTTGTCGTCATCAAACACGGGTGTAGGCTCTCTCCTGAAGGGCCCATGCCGCTCCTCCCCTCCGGATGCCCCGAGAGGTCTCTGTCCCCGGCCACCCCTCTGCATGGCTGCCTTCAAAAAGTCAGACCTGCACATCAGGCGAAACAAAACAAACAGGCACACGACAGGATCAGCATATGCGCTCAGCAGCCTTCAGAGCAATTATACACCCAATCTCAGACACATCAGGCCTTTATTTGCTTTCAATCATGGCATGCAATACTTAGGACAAGGGTCTACTCTGGGAGGGGTCCCGGCTTTACCTATTCCCTGGCCACAAACTTTTTTAGCCTTGTCCCGGATACCCAATCTTTCCATTCCGTGCCGTTTAGCTCTTCGATCTGGTATGCCCCAAATTCGCCGCATCGCACAATCCTGTAGGGCCCCAACCATCTTTTGTCAAGTTTTCTTGACCACTACTTTTTCAGGGATGAGTCGTATAATAATACAGTATCTCCCACTTCCAAGGGCTCTTTCCGCACTCGGGCCATTTGATCCCACCTCATCTTATCCTCCATGCAACTTCTCTCTACCTGATCAGCGGCCTCTCGCAATCTTTCCTCGGCCGCTCCCACTTGTCAAGCCCGGATATCGAGTAATTCTTCAAAGGACAGGTTTACTTCCAAGTCCTGGCGCCTCCACGTTTTTATAAAGCTTTCTATAGGGAAGGTGACACCCCTCCTGTACCATAGCGTGGCTGGCGCATACTTGGTAGTCCTCTTCACAGTAATATTCTCCACGAAAAAAAACGCTCGCAAGAATTTCGGCCACTGACCAGGCTTGCCCTCTGTCCACTTAGCCAAAAGATTCGTGATGGTACTGTGCCCTCTCTCCACAGGAGCGTTTGCTTGAGGGTGCGTGATCATAGTATAGTTGGCCATTACCCCATACCCAGCAAGCAAGGTTCGCACCTCATTGCAGGTAAACTCCGATCCTCGATCCATCACGAACTCTTTGACGAAAGGATAGCGCAGGTAATACTCCTCGATGCAATTTGCCAAAACCGAGTCAGTCTTCGTCCGGATAGCCCGACCGTCCACAAACCCAGTAAGGTTATCCCGGGCATCGAAGATGTAATTGCACCCATTTTCCCCAATTGACATAAACAACAGGTCCAGGTGCACAACCGCACCCACTTCCCTTTCCAACCTTGGGTGTAGGGGCTCTCCCGGCCTTTGCGCTGACCTTTCCTGTCAAGGTACACAGGATTGGCAGTACTTGATGACCATCGTCAGCATTCCATCCCAATGGTAGAGCTCGCTTATCTTTGCGCATGTGGCACCTATCCCTCTGTGCCCTCCTGCTATACCATCGTGCAGGGCTGCTATGATATCAATCTGCCGGTTCCTCCCACATATGATCCTCTTGGGGTTCCCGACCTGCCGCTTTATGAACAGATGACCATCTCTTACTATGTAGAGGTGCCTCATGTTCTGCGCTTTGGCACTTGCATCTCTATCTCTCATCTCACATGATAGGAGCAGCCCCAACTCCCGGTATATCCCATCATACTCCTCCGCCCGAAACGCCTCCTTAATCTCCCCCTCTTCGAACTCGTCGTCCTGGCTTTCAGAAATCAGGATTTCGTTCTCCTCCTAACTAAACGGGCCTCTCCGGTCGAAGTCTCATTGCAGGAGCGTATTAGTGAGCAGATACATCCCTCCCATTAGCTGCTCATGCTCCTCTACCTGAGTAGGTCCTTCCTCTATTGTCCTCACCTCTTCCACCAAGCCATGTGTCCCTTCCAGCGCCAACTTCATCATCCACTGAGTGTCCTTGCCTCCCCACGGATCTTCTTCCTGAAATGGCTTAAGGACTAAGTCGGCCTTCCGCTCATATCCTCTCGGTGCTATCCATATGGGATGGCTAACACAGCTGGGTACTCGCAGCGCCCACTCGTTTATATGGAGTTGCACATCTTCTTCCTGATCCAGGAACCCGTCGACTGGCGGGGTGTCTTCGGTCGACCCCTGATCCGCACTGTCCCAGTTGACGCGGCTCAGGCCATCAGCTCTATTCTTATTTCCTGAGATCCTTTCCAGTTCGAAATTAAACATCCAAATGTACGTCAACCATCGAGCGACGGTTGGGTCAGATGGTGTATAATTCTTCAGGGAGCAGGCAAGTGCCGTAGGAACCACCCTTAATATAAATCTCCTGCCGAAGACGTAATTCCGAAAGATCCTTAGGCAATGGAGTACCGCAAGCGTCTCCTTCTTAAACTGAGAGTAGTTCCTCTCAATCGTGTTAAGAGTACGGCTTTCGAATCTTAGCGGCCTCTCCCTTCCCTCGGCATCCGCCTGGATCAAGACCCCTCCTAATGCAGTTGGTCCAACGTCTGTCTTGATGATAAATGGCTTTTCTCTTGTCCCTTCATAATTTGGCGCTCCCAGCACCAATCCTCCTTCCCTGAACTCTCCCTTCATCCTGGTTACCGCTTATTCATGGTCTTCGCCCCAAACCCAGTCCTGGTCCTGGCGCACCAGCTTCCTTAAATGCTCAGTCTTGGCGGCGAAGTCTTTCACGAAGCTCCTCCAAAATCCGCAAGTGTCAAAAAAGCTTCTCACATCTGTTATGGTCTGGTGAGGCACCGGCCACTCTAAGATTTTGTCTGTCTTTTTCACGTCTGGCTTCCGACCCTTCTCATTACAGACGAACCCCAGGATGGTGGCTTCTCTCATGCAGTGCTTAGATTTTGGCCCGCTTGCAGTGAGGTTGTACTCCTCTAGCAGATCCAAGACTTGATCGAGATCCTAGATGTGCCTCCAAACGAAACGCCTCACTCCGGGCTGCACTTCGTCCTCCTCTTTCTCTCTTGGCCCTTTGACCGCCAAGTCATCGATGTAGGGCTGGGTGATGTGCGGGCTGACTGTTAATATGGCCCTGATCATATGTCTCTGCACCATCTCCACCGCATTCGTCCAACTCTGAGGGGCTACATTCATGTGGATTAGCCCCCTTGGCGTGTGCATCGCTGTCACCGGCCTATCGGGCGGGTATACAGGAAACTGATCATACCTGGAATAAAGGTCTATAAGTGAGATTATAGGCCTCCCCGCGCATGACTCCGACAGTGCATCTGCGTTCGGCAAGCCTCGCGCATCTCGCACCGTGACCGCATTTAGTCGCTGCAAATCCTGTACCCACCGTAGCGTCCCGTTCGGCTTAATGAAGCAGAACCAAGGGGAAGCATACGGATCGCTAGAGTAGTCGGCAACATGCGTGCGCATCTTGCCATCCAGATAGTCCACCACCATCTTCTCCTCATCAGGGTTTGGGTATCGTGCACCTCTTACATTCCAGGGCTCGTGGGGGACCGTGTGGATCCGGATCATCGGGATCTTATCCACGTCCAGCCTCCCACGCTGGTCATCATTAAAGGCGTATGCGCCATGCCTCTTCTTCATCAGCCTCACCATCAGCGCCCGTTCCTGGGGCGAAAGAAAATATGGCTCCCCGACGATTAACTTCTCTTCATTTCCATCATTGATACGGCATGGATCCTTCAGTGCCTGCTCTTGCATTCGCCGTATCAATCCTCGCTCCCGCTCGTAATAAGCCTCTTCATCCTCCGTAACGAGCACGAGAACAGGGCGACACTTTTTATCTATTGTTTTGTACCGCCTTTGGGCGCCCTGCTTAACCCGTCTCCTAAAAAAGGTCGGCTTGTTGTTTGTGCTTGCGCCATCGCGGGACCTTTTCTCCCCGCTAGAAGTCGATAGATAAGCTCCACCTCTCCTGCCTGTGGGCTTTCCAAAACATGCTCTCGCAAAGCCTTGATGGCCTCCGAGTCTTCCATCTCATGTGCTAATACGATCTCCATAGCCTTGCTTACGTCTGTAAGGCTCAGTGACAGCACCTCCGCCCCATCTTCCTCCTCAGGCTCCTCCGCGAGCCTCCGCCGCTTGTTCTCTGATTCCACATAGGTGAATGAGCCGGGGTTAGGTCTATTCCGCACGCTCCCTGGCCCCGTGTTCCGGCAGGTGACAACTTCGTAGTTCCCACAGGCTGGGTCACTCAGGAGCAATATCATCGTTCCATCGTGCTTGTTGAAGATCAGGGTCTCCGTCCTGCACATGAACGATCTGCCCAGAAGGATAGGATGGTCCACATCTAGCATGACGAAAAAGCACGTCCTTGCTCACACCTTGCCAATCTCTATGATCACATTCGACGCTGTGCCACAAAAAATTGCACGGTCGATCTCCATCCCAAGCATGAGCGCATCTCTTTCCCTAATGATGTCCATTTCAGCGCCCGTATCCATCATTGCCACGCACTTCTTCTCTTTTACTACCAAATCAACGAGTCAGCATGCCGCGCACTACCACTTCATTCTTGTCCCAGATTGTGTCCATCCCACTTCCCTGGGCAGGACGGCGCTCAAATGCACGTTGGGCACTAGCCTTCGGGACAATCGCCCTTTCAATTCCTCTCGGAGCCTTGGTGCGGACGCCAAAATATCTTTTAAATTCATAAGGTCATTGTGACCTTCAAGAAGCCGGTCCACCATCCTTTCCATGTCGAAGTCTTCCTCCAACCTGACGGTGTACTTTCTTTTCTTGGGCACCCCATCCTGTGGGCCTGGCTCGACTCTCTCCTGCGCCTCTCTTCTCTCAGCTCTCTGCTCCGTCCATCGATCCTCCTCCTGACGGAGTCTTTCATCCTCCGTGTCATCATCCTCTTCCTCTTCCTCCTGGACCTCGACCACTTCCTTCCTACGCTCAGGCTCAGGTCTCTTCTGTGGAGGTGCCTGACTTGGCGGCTGACTAGGGCCCACCTTACTTTGGCTCCTGGTTTGAGTTGCTTGCGGCGCCCGTCCATGCGAGGTGGGCGGCCTGAACATCATCCCTGACCTGGGGCCCGACCCTGCCATGGCAACCCCGGGACTACTCTGTTGTCCGGCTGCCGGCCCTGGCCCGGTCTCATTGAGGAAGACCTTTGGGAGGTCGGCTCTCCACCCTTGGACTTTCATCATATAGCTCTTTCAATCTCCGCTGGTACCTCCCCATTTTTTCCATCAAATCCTCTATCTTTTCCAGGGTGGTTACGGTCGGTTCCCCTTCATCCTCTCTCCCCTCGTCATCTGACTCAACAATTATCGGCTCTTCTTTTATGGCCCCGACCTTTAGTCGTTGCGTAACCTCCTCGCTATCCCCCGTGATCTCTTTGATTCTTATGGTCGGGCCTTCTCTCTCCTGCCACATTCTGAACATGGCCGGGGCGGCCGATGGCCCTTCCACCGCCCGCCTGAGGGCCTCCTGCCTGATTCCTCCCGGTGTCTTGGGGTCAATGTGTTCCCCCCACTTATCGTATATATCCCCATCCATACAAGAGCAAATCAGACCCGCAAGCTCATCGTCCCGCCTTTGCTGGCAGAACCGAATCGTGTGGCCTACAACGCCACAATGTCAGCAGGTCGCGTTCCGCCAGTCGAAGCGGGGTCTCCCATACCCTTCAAGTTGGTCCCCTTGCTGACTGTCCTGGTCGCTTTGGCCCCGGCCCCCTTGGCTATTCCATCCACCGCCACGTCCCCCACCATTTCGGCCTCGTCCGCCACCCCCTTGGCCTCCTTGCCCCCGACCCCCATTGCCCTGTCCACCCTACCCTTGGCCTCCTCCACCCGCCACGCTAGCTTGTGATGCTTGCTGCGAGGGGTGAGGTTGGGCCGTGAATTAGCCTTACGTTGCGGGGAAACTTGGTGGCCCTGCGCTCGTTGACGGACCCGAAAACGGGACCATCTGTCCAGTATGGGCTTGGCCCCCTCCACACGAGGTGCAATGACTACAGCTAGGCCAGGGTGCCGCCTGACAGTATGGTACCCAATGTCCGCAGGCCAGAGGCGGCCCCATTGGTGCCGGCCCTGCCGATACGGGCACGGTTATGGCGGCTACTGGCGCTGCAACAACTGCCTGGGGGACCTGTCCCTTGCCAGACCCTTGGCCACCCAGCAACAAATTGCGTTGCTTCCGCTGGGCCTTGGTAAGGATTTGTGACCCCGTCTCCTCCCCGCCGTAATCCTCTTGCCCGGCGCCTTCATCCCCCACCTCTTTCCCTCGGCCTTGGACCACGGCTACCGCCTTTTTCTACGCCTCGGCATCCTGGCCATAGCCTGATGCCGCAAGCACATCAGTGATGATCCTCTTTACCCCCGGGGTCCCTAATGCAGTAGCGTCCCTTTCCTTCCTTTTCCTCCTTTGTAGGCGCATCTGATGCTGCTCTACCTGGCCTAAACTCCCATCCTCCACTCCTCTGTCGATGGTGGCCCAGCGCTGCCTGCTCCATGACTCGTCAGTTCGGCTGCCTCTGACCCAGTGAGCAGCCCCTGAAAGATAGCGCACTGCCTCTCCTCAGAGATCCCGTGAACTTTCCTTGCCTTCTTCTTAAACTGTTGTACGAAGGCCCCTATCGTGGTAAAGTCATCCTTGTTCATTCCCTCAAGATCTGAGATGGTAAGCACCCCATCACCCAACCGATACTTGCGCAGCATGCTCTCCTTGAATCTTGCCCAACTGCCATGGGCGGCATCCACAACCTTTTGCACCTCCTGATGATGCCTATGGAGCACGTACCTCATAATACGCTGGAATTTCACCTCATCTGACAATCCCACCATTGCCTGCTCCACCAGGTCTAGCCAGTCTGAGACCCTTTTCCCATCAAAGAGGAAGGTCTCAACCTTCGGAACATTACTTGGGGTCTTCTCATGTCGATCTAGTGTTGCGATGAGGTCCTCAAGGGTCATGACCCTCCCAGCGCCATCCGATATACTGCCACCCTCCGGCATCTTGGTAGGCCTCCTTTTCCAATTTCCTGTTAAGAGAAAACCAAAGGCACTCACCTACTTAGCATCCTACTCCAACCTGGTCTAACCCGCATCTCCTACCTAGCCTCACCCTTGACGTGAGCATTGCCACCCTTTACGCTCTTGCTAGGACCGGGCGGACAGCTAAACACACATACACAGATGCTAACTTCCCCTTTTTTATACTTAGTCCCTCATCACTCACCTCTCGCTCCAATCACACTCATCGCTCTCTTACGCCTATTTGCTCACTTGTACCCGGATGTCGTTCCACCAGGGACAACGCTAGGCTTCCGTTATCCCCGGTAACGGCGCCACCTATCGAGCGCATCGGTCCGGCACCGCACGTGGCAGCGCGGGACCCTTTCGGCCGCGTCACGCAGGAGTTGGACCAACCTTGTCATGAACACACAAATGGAGCTTCCTTAGGCCGCTCCGGCCGAGTGCGCCAGCCATACCTCTCGCGAGCCCCTACG